TGGGGCTGAAGCCCCCCCCCCAAATTATTATAATCATGTGGAAAAAAACTGATCCAAGATAATGGATATCTGTTACTTGTACTGTACAGGTAATAGATATCCATTACCTGGGTAAGGTTTTTTTTATTTTTCATATTATATTAAAATATTTTATGGACGAGGCTTCAGGCCTATAGCCCCCAATGGGGCAATGGGACTCGGGCTGTTCCTATATAGTGTGCATGAACAATTTATGTTTGCAGCGATTCTGTTAAAGATCATGGGACCATCGAGTTTTTATGAAAGATCAGCCTCGTTTCACTTCCGTAGGAACTAGGGTGTAGACCCAATTTGTAGCCTTCTTAACATAATCCGCACTGTACTCCTCTTTTTCAAGCAGGATTTCATACAAAATTGAATTTTGCTGCAACAAATGACTTCTTAATTTATTTACCTTTCCATATGTACCATTGGATTTAATAAAGAGTCACACATTGTGTCTATTTAGATTTTAACTCTTTAATTGTTCAAAATTCAAAATAAATTACTTTTCGCTCAAGCCACCTTGTAACTTATCTGCTGTAATTTTTATGATATAAATCTAAGTGATTTTACATTGTTCCTGCCTTGGAAATTCAGTATTTTAAACAGGTCTTCTAAATCTGCATGTCAGTATAACAATTCACATTAAAACTAAAAACTAAAACTATATCTTGTCTATGTATAAAGGGAATTATTCGTTGCAATTAAGGATTGCAACGATTTTTCCCTATAATTATTAATTATTTTGTTTCTAGATAGAGCTGAAATTAGGGCATAACAGCTTTTGTAAACAATGGCTTTGGTTGATTTGTGTTGGGTATGTTGGGTGTCTTGAGTTGCTAGAAATTTACGAGAGAATTCATTGTTTATAAAAGCTGTTACGCCCTAATTCCAGCTCTACCTAGATTTGTTATAAGGTCTCAACATCAGAGTTGCGACCTATCACAATCACGATCGCCAAACAGTTGATGGTACTAACGCTTTGTACATTCCTGTCAATGTGCTCTTTGAAGCTCTCTCGATGCCTATCCATCAAGTTGACGAAAGAAGTAAAAAACAACTAATGAATGTCGTTTTCTGTTGTGATCCATCGCCGATCTGGTCAATCCCGACAATCACGACACTGATCTGTGCTCGTTTTGAAGCAGTTGCTGCTTTGCTTGCTTATTTGAGTGTGTTGGTGAGTGAGCCCAACAGCTTCCGTTTCATGTTGCCTGCTTTGTTTGTAACTCACACAGTCGCACCTGCCGAGACGAACTTGGAATGCGTAGGCATTGTTTTCATTTTCTTCTGTCGCTTCGCTTTTTCGCATCATCGTACTGTTTTCGTTGTGCTTTTCATCATCAACAGCGAGTGCATCGTTTTGCTTGTGAGCAGCGACCATCACTGATGATTATTGTTGGCCATGGCTCTACCTCTCACTGCGTGACAAAACGATCTGTCAGCGATAGTCGGTTGATGCGAAGACGAGTGTCACGTGAATGTAATGATATTTTGCATCACTGGGTGGTTGCAGGTAAAGGTGGAATACGAGCTCTGGTGCCGGACATCCATAAATATTAACAAGAATTTTGAGCCATTTGGCCTGCTTGATTAATGTGACTCGACGTATTTTCCAACAATCAATGTTTTGTTGAAGATTTTGGTGACACTCCCGGTCACTACAGCCAGTGTGGAAAGATCTTTCTCCACACTGAAACGAATTAAAACTAATGGGAAATCAACGACTTTCGGGCTTGGCTATAATATCAATTAACTGATTAGAGTAAAGCTAGAAAATTACTTTTGTAATAACCAGGTATAATGTAAAGGATATGGCTCTACGTTGTACTGTACGTTGCCCCAGATTAAAACGAATAAAAAAAAAAATAGAAATGATGACACATGGTTTTGACCGATTTTGGTTAAGGTAAAAAAAACAGTTTATCATTCGATGTTTAGTGTGCGCACATTTTATAAATAATTGAAGTTTTTATGTCATAAAATTAGCTCCCCCCGAAACCAAATGCTGGCTACGGGCCTGTCATGGAACTGTCCTGAACTGCCCAAAGTACGGAACTTTCATGTAGTCCTCGGAACTTACAAAAGTTTTCGAAACTTATCTGAATATTTTGGATAGTGCCTTAGGACATCGTAGATCGATATTTTTGATTGTATTGATCAAAAAAAAGCAATTTACCGTGCTGGTTATTCATGGAGTATCCAAGAATAAAGGGCGAACACGAAATTATTGCGACACCGAAAATGTCATGCCAATTTTCTTATAATGTTTAGAATCAAACCAAAATTTTAGGGTAGTTTTATACATAATTTTACCTCAAAAATCAAAAGAAAAGTTAATCGATGGAGCCTTGAGTGTAAAATTGAACGCATTTTCGCTTGATGCCCTCCATCAAAGTCTTTACAGTGTCATTCGGTACCAATTTCTCAGTTTTTTTTTTTCATTTTCTTAACATGTCCTTCTCGTCTTTGACTGTCTTCTTGCTCTTCCGAAGTTCCCGCTTCATTATTGCCCAGTACTGCTCCACCGGACGCAGCTCCGGACAGTTTGGCGGATTCATGTCCTTTGGAAAAAAAAAATGGACAGAATTGGCCTCATACCACTCCAGGACACTTTTAGAATAGTGGCATGATGCCAAATCTGGCCAAAATAGCGTCGTCGTGCTGCTGCAAGAACGGCAAAAGGCGCTTCTCGAGGCACTCAGATTTGTAGATCTCGCCATTTACTGTGCCCTTTGTCACGAAAGGCTCACTCCTCAGTCCGCAAGAGCAGATGGCCTGCCAAATGAGATATTTGGAGGCGAACTTCGACATATTCTTCTTCTTAAATTTGTCGTCCACATCGAACTTGCTCTTGCCGGTGAAAAACTCCAACCCCGGAATTTTCTTAAAATCGGCTTTTATATACGTTTCTTCGTCCATCACACAGCAGCCATATTTTGTCAGCATCTTCTCGTAGAGCTTCCGTGCCCGAGTTTTAGCCGTCGATTGTTGCCGCTCATCGCGGTTTGGGAAGTTCTGTACCTTGTATGTATGTAGTCCAGCTCTCTTCTTTGCATTCTGGACGTAGCTCTGCGACATGCCGATCTTTTTAGCCAAATCACGGCTTGAGACGTTGGGATTTGCTTTAATCATCCGCTTCACCTTTCCCTCCGTCTTTTTGTTCTCCGGTCCCGGTTTTCTTCCAGCTCCTTTGCCGTGGTCCAACGTCAACCACTCCTGGAACCGCTTCAACACTCTGGAGACGGTTGAATGGTGAATGTTCAACATTTTTCCCAACTGCCGGTGCGACAGGTCAGGAAATTCCAGGTGTTTGGAAAGAATTTGTTCTCTCAACTTGCGTTGGTTCACCTCCATTTTCGTTGAATCGAAAAACACGACTTCGAGTTTGACAGCATGTACACAATACACATCAATGAGAAAGCGTGCAAAATTTGGTTGATTTTTACCCAATGGTAAAAAAGTTATGCCCTGTTGAATGTGTCGCAATAATTTCGTGTTCGCCCTTTATATACCATACCATGGCACCTCAGTAGGCCTGGGTTCAATCCCAGTCGGCGCCGCCGGGATGTTCTGAGGCATAACATCTCTGATCACGGGAAGTAAAGCCGTTGGTCCCCGGTTCATGAGTTGATGAGTCAATAGGTAAGGTCCAGGTGTAGGAGCTGCCTTCCTGGCGTCGGTAGCATTGGAGCTCAGCACGGAAAACAAGTTCGACGGAAAACAAATCAAGGAAAAAAACGACCTTAGTACAAATACACATGATATAACGCTTTTAACCGCAGCTTCCAGTTTTTTTAAGATTGGCAGTTCATCTGAGTGCGTACTGTTGAGCACTTCGCTTACTGTTCCACTTTTTGATTCGTCGATTTCTTTTGCACTTTCACTTCTGTTCTGTGCAGCTTGTTGGTTCCGAAATAGTTACTGACAGTGCTACTAGAAATACTTTTAAATATTTTTAAGATCAACAATTTAAATCAGCTCTAATATTTTTCAAATGACCAGTTCCGAAAATACCGGTATTTTCACATGCCAGTACCGGTATGTCGATACTAGAAAATCACCCGGTTTTACCGGAACCACAACCCTAATTGAGATCATTTTAAGTGCAAGGTTAAGTAAATAGCTTGAAAAAAAAATTAAAAATAGAAGAAGTTGAATAGAATTGATACAGGTTTTGAAAATGTATGTACTATCCCCTTAATTGTTAATCGCCCACAACACCCCGATGACAAATTACCGATGGCAGATTAAATCCTCAAGTACACAATAATCATCACTTCAACTGACAATGTAACGAACAAAGCTCCCGTCTGCACTGCCTGCCAAGGTGGCCCCTGGAGTTCGGATCACATCACCCTTCTCGATCCCTGCTGCTTCACACCAATGTAGAGCCGTAATAAGTGTCACCACACTTCAGCAGCACCCACCAACATCGAAGATTACAACCGATAAGATTGAGCTTTTCCCCAACCCATGCTCTCTCGCCACCACCCTTTAATGTTAGTGGTGGGGGGGGGGGGGGAGAGGGCGCCTTCCATACTGCAATTTGTTATTTGTTTACCCACTTAGTCAATGCTGGGAGCCTGGGTGTGTGTGACTAGAAGTATGACTTAGCTCTCGCTCTACTGCGGCAGCAAAGGGTTTGCCCGCTCAAGGTGATTGAAAGCATTTGGCCACGTGGGGCCACCCTGGGCTACCTCCAAGCAGGACTGACCGGGTCAGCATCAGCATCAGTGCAGTTTATAATTTGCCCTACCGCATGCATCAAGTGGCGCGACATCGGTCAACAGTACGGCCATTTGCCGTAAGTCGTACCGAAGTGATTGATTTCCGATTTATGCCGACGGGTGCTATCCATCGGAGCGCAATCAGCATTGGCATTGTTGCCACGGATTTGATTAATTATCGATAGGTGGAGAACGTAGCTTGATCGCTTGCGCTAATCTGTTTCCCCCTGTTTTTCTGTTTGATTTCAGATACGACTGTGATGACTCCAAAGCTGCTTGTAAAATCCTGTAAGTACAATTGTTTGCTACCACTACTGCTCGAAGTGTAATAAATTACCGTCCGCGAGTATTTGTTTTCTGCACACTTTGTTGCAAGCCGGGGGCGGTGAGAGCCGGGTGAAAACTATTCCCCGCAGAGAACTTTTCCTCAAATGATCGAGTGGGAGGAAAACCGCTTTTCCGGGATGCTGCGTAGTTGTTGTTGTTGTTGTTTATTCCCGCGCGCACGCTTGGGAAAGAGCCTGGAACTAATCCGGCCGTCAGCTGGTCGTTGTTGGTGCGGGTACATACAAATGCAATAACATGGTTAATTAGCCGTAACTTGACAGTAAAGGGTAACTTTGCGATGCAAAAATAATTTTCGCTACGTTAACATTGTTGCTGCCGGTGGCAAGTGTTTAACAAAGTGGTAACTTTTGGAAAATCTTTTCAATGTGGGTAGCATTAGGTTTTCAGCAAGGGTTAGAAATAGTTCAATGGATCTTGTTGGAGTTTCTTTATTTCAAGTTGATTCTGTAACATCACAATTCCCACTGCATTGCTGTGGAATTTTCCATTCGTCTCACTCCGAAGGACGTTCGTTGAATGATGCCCTGTTGAAAAAAAAACATCTCTCGCCCACTGAAACGTCTTCATATATTCGTTTTGGCTGGCATTACATCGTAAAGCCTTACTTCCAACCCTCCCATGTCATGTATATGTACATTCATATGACATACCATTTGGAAAATTTTCACCCCCAAAATAAAAGTCTAATCTCTCAATTCGTTCAACGAGAATGCTTTAGTATCAGTCTCGTCATTTCTCTTCTATTCGACAAAAATTACCCTGTTTTGCTACAGTGCAAATTCGATTCTCGGTCATGGATCGTCGAGATACACCTTTTGATCTTGGGCCCGCAAACAGATGGAAGCGTCTCGAATTTGTGTGCCATCATTTTCATCTTCATTCACCGATGGGGGGGCGTGGATATTCGGTATTAGATATAATTACAGATATATCACTTATTCTGTAGCTGAATGCCGCTCCTTTTTTTGAAGGGTTCAACATTTTGAACCGTGTAGCCGGAATACCTTTTGCCGGAATTGAACTGTAGGCCCCCAACGAAGAACGCCGTCGAGGTTCAATTGTCATAACGTGAACGACCAACGACGAAGACGGGGACCAGATCCTTTCCGGGCTTTTTATTTGTTCGCGTCAAGGACGTATCATGACGACGGTGGCCCGACGGCAAGAGGGCTTGCGTGTCCTTTTCCAATTGTGTGTGATCCAATAGACGCAAAGATAGGACATTTTCCTGGAAGGGAAATTTCTGGGCGCGGGTATTCTTGGGCGTAGGAAAGACGATTTCTCGGAAGAATGTGCTTGCTTCTGTCTTCTTTTTATCTGATACGAAATGCGATGGAACAGATTTTCTGAGGGTTTTCCAGTTGACATGGAGATAAACGCGGAAGCAGGAACATAAAAAGGAGAGTGCTCCCTACTTTACCAATGCCTAGGGGAAAGTGGGGCAATGTGGCCACTCGATTGGAAATCAACTTACTGAACACATTTTACAAAAAATCTGATGATGGCTTAATGCTCGAAGCCTACTTCAACTATCCATTTAGTTTTAGTCTAAAAATTACTTTTCGCTTGTGCGAATATTTGGAAATTTTTGAATTAGCTTAAAACGCCAAAAATGTTAATCAGAAAATAAGGTCTATCAGTAGTATCTTATAACTTATCGTTAAGATTCGTTCAGCAGTTGTATAAATGGTCATTGGTTTCTTATATGACACGATGTTTTTCTATTTTTCAATAAACAATAAAGTTTTTCTTACAAAATATTACTTAAGTCCATTCGAGGCAATATGAGTACCACTGATATTTCAAAAAAATTCTACTTGAGTTCTTCAATTTTGTATTCTGCTATTTAAAAATATGAATATATCATGTGAAATCACGGTTTGAAGCAGCTATTCTTCTTATTTTCGTCTTCTTCTTCTTCTTCTTCTTTTTATTCTTTGCATCTCAAGCTTATTGCTTATCGCATATTACAGGGCTGATAGCGAGTCACTTTTTAGTGACTTGGTCACTTTTTTCAAGCCAGTCTTTTTTTTTAAGGCCAAGTCACTAAAGTCACCTTTTCTTGTAATAAGTCACTATTTTAAACTTTTTTAAACGTGAATTTATTTCAAGATTGATCATTCTTCTGGATAGGCCTACATTTTGTTCTATTTTTGAACAATTAGAACTTGATGACGGTATAGAGTTTTTTTACGTTTCATCGTACTTCTTTATCTACAGCGTGTTCCCTGAGTTTTTCAGGTTTTTCCATAACTTTGGCGGATTTCCAGGTTTATAATAATAATGTTATTTATGAAATGCGTTAAAAATATGTTTTTAAGCCACGACAATCAGTTTTAAAGAAACAGCTTTACTATCAAATCCAATAAACACTTACTGCATTTTAGTAAGTCTAAGATCACAACATTTTTAATGTCTTGACGTTTCGTACTAACAAAATTGTGGAAACTTTTGAAGTTCTATTGATCTAAGAAAAGCTAGATCTAGAGATCTTTGGGGAAGTCCCCGAAATTTAGCCCAGACTATTGAGTTGGTTTAAAAATCTATAAGCGTGAGTTTAGTCAAATTCAGGATAGTTCCATGAGGTGCTGAAATAAAACCCATAAGATGTTCCGCAAGAAAACTTATGAAAACTTCACAGAAATCCAGAGAATTCCAGGGAAGTTTAACGGTGTTTACGAGAATTCCATTTATTTTAAAGTAGAACCGAAATCTTCACTAGAGTTGAGAATTGTATGGAAGCTCCGAGGACATCAAAACAGATCAGAGAATTAAAGGACAGTTAAAAAAATTCAAGGAAATTGCAGAAGCCGGAATTTCCGGGAACTTTGGTTTGCTCAGAGAATATTTCGGGAACGCAATAAAAATTGTATGAACATCCGAAAAATGTGAGAGTATTTCAAGGGTGTTATTTCATGGAAATTTCAAGAACTAAATAAATCGAAAATTTAGCTAAGTTGATAAGAGAACATCAACGAGGTTCCATTAATTTAAAAAAGCGAAAGCTTTTAGCATGCACCGATATTTTCAAGAAATTCCAGAGAACTTCTAATAAATTTAAATATTTTAAGATTGTTTCATTATATTCAGTGAAGTTCCAAGTAGGGGAATTTACGTATTCTCGGCAACCTAAGCAGCGACCTTCTTTCTATAGCCTTTTTCTCTATGGAACGCACACATATGCAGTATTGGTTTGTTTACAATCTTTTGGTGCCAGCTGCTCTAACAATTTCAGTCGAAAGAATTGTTAAAAACTGTTTTGAAACGCTTTTACAAAGCTCCAATCTTCTCTAGTGAGAGCGAGTATTGTCGGCAACCAGTTTTTCTTCGGCAACCGTTCCATTTGAACTGCATGTAAATCTGCTGTTCTATTATCGCCAACTCGAAATCAGCTACAATTTGTAGTGCGTGTGTTTCATTTCAAGAAAACCCTGCTAGATTGCTTTTTCTCAGTGGTAAAAATATAGTCAAATTGAAGCTGAAAGCATACAGAATCGTTTGCATGCATTCAGCGAAGTGTTTTCGTAAGAAAATTCAGTGAAAATAGTGTTTCAATTTGGGTTGCCGAAAATAGTCTGTCATGCCAAAGCCGTCATTTCCCCTACTTCAAGGACGATCGGATAACATCAGAAAAATCACATTAACTTAAGGAAATTTGCAGCGACTTATAAGGAGTTCCTTAGAAAAATTGTAGAACTTAAAGGCAATTAAATCAATTTCAGTAAATGCTGGGTTCTTAAAAAATATACTGAGGCAGGGCATTCTAGAAAATTTTGTAACACTCACTCCATGTTGTAAATAGTAAATTAGTCATAAATAAAATAAGAATGAAATATATCGAATCCATATGCCAAAAACTATGCCAGTAGCAAAACGACACTGATCGATTTACTATAAAAATAGAATGCCTCGTGAGTAAAGGCCGAGTCCAGTGAAATCTTCGGGAAAGTTGGGAAAAGAGAGAGTGTGGCTACACCCGACTTTGAACGAAGGACCAGCGATCGCAAAAATCTCTCGCATTGCCGATCTAGTTCGAAGAAGTTCGCGGGAAAATCGAACTTCCGTTAAGTTCGGCCGAGGTCACCTTCCCTAATCTGAGGGTAACGGTTTCGCTTCACTTTCGTCCGAACCGCAGATTGCAGTGGAAGTGTTTCATGTTGTTCGCGTGATAGTTTCGTTTTGTAAAGTGAGTTAAAGCAACGTGGTTGTACTTTTATACTTAAATCCTAATTTCTCCTCGTTGATTGTTTAGCTATAGTTATAAATCAATACGTAGTGTGCGTCTTAGACTAGGCTTTGTGTGTGCGAAACATAAGCTAGACCAGGTAATGTGCTCGTTAAAGAAAATCTGTGCATTCTAGATAGAGCTGGAATTAGGGCGTAACAGCTTTTGTAAACAATGACTTTTCGGGATGATTTCTAAAAAGTCAAGGCTCGTTCACGCAAATCAACATCACCATCGGATAGGGTAAGACTTACACTACCCGATGGTTCCGTTGGTTTGCGTGGACTTGCCTTGAATTTCTAGAAATCTTCGACAGAAGTCATTGTTTACAAAAGCTGTTACGCCCTAATTCCTGCTCTATCTAGCATTGTGCTTAATGTTCTTTTCACCAGCCGACGGCTACGTTTACGTTTCCAACGTCATCATCTGCATCCCCGGGGCGAATAATCCCGGCAACCGTCACTTTGTCCGGTGGAAAGCGATCCGCATCTACATCGCTGAGCAGGGCTTCGTGGTTCGTCCACCCACGTGGAAATCGTTGGCCAACGGTCGAACGCGCATCGATTGAAGTAGCATCGTCGCTGCGCCAGTAACAGCAGCGCAGCAATCATCAGCAGCTAAATCAACTGGTGAGGCCGTTCTGTTTTTTTCGTTGAGTGTGGCGTCCGGCGAGGGCGCCACGGACGACCTTTTTTGCCGACCATAAGGTCGAAGA